GTGGCATGGAGGCAATCAGCCTGTGGCACTGCTGAGGTGTTATGGAGGCCCAGGATGCTTCGATAGCGGCCTTAAGCTCATCCAGAGTGTTGGGTCTTGCGTCTCTCAACTTTCTCTTCACAATATCCCACAGGTTCTCTATGGGGTTCAGGTCAGGAGTGTTGGCAGGCCAATTGAGCACAGTAATACCATGGTCAGTAAACCATTTACCAGTGGTTTTGGCACTGTGAGCAGGTGCCAGGTCGTGATGAAAAATGAAATCTTCATCTCCATAAAGCTTTTCAGCAGATGGAAGCATGAAGTGCTCCAAAATCTCCTGATAGCTAGCTGCATTGACCCTGCCCTTGATAAAACACAGTGGACCAACACCAGCAGCTGACATGGCACCCCAGACCATCACTGACTGTGGGTGCTTCACACTGGACTTGTGGCATTTTGGCATTTCCTTCTCCCCAGTCTTCCTCCAGACTCTGGCACCTTGATTTCCGAATGACATGCAAAATTTGCTTTCTTCTGAAAAAAGTACTTTGGACCACTGAGCAACAGTCCAGTGCTGCTTCTCTGTAGCCGAGGTCAGGCACTTCTGCCGCTGTTTCTGGTTCAAAAGTGGCTTGACCTGGGGAATGCGGCACCTGTAGCCCATTTCCTGCACACGCCTGTGCACGGTGGCTCTGGATGTTTCTACTCCAGACTCAGTCCACTGCTTCCGCAGGTCCCCCAAGGTCTGGAATCGGCCCTTCTCCACAATCCTCCTCAGGGTCCGGTCACCTCTTCTCGTTGTGCAGCGTTTTCTGCCACACTTTTCCCTTCCCACAGACTTCCCACTGAAGTGCCTTGATACAGGACTCTGGGAACAGCCTATTTGTTCAGCAATTTCTTTCTGTGTCTTACCCTCTTGCTTGAGGGTGTCAATGATGGCCTTCTGGACAGCAGTCAGGTCGGCAGTCTTACCAAGGTTGCGGTTTTAGTAATGAACAAGGCTGGGAGTTTTTAAAAGCCTCAGGAATCTTTTGCAGGTGTTTAGAGTTACATCGTTGATTCAGATGGTTAGGTTAATAGCTTGTTTAGAGAACCTTTTCATGATATGCTAATTTTTTGGGACAGACATTTTGGGTTTTCATGAGCTGTATGCCATAATCATCAGTTTTAAAACAATTAAAGACCTGAAATATTTCAGTTGGTGTGCAATGAATCTGAAATATATGAAAGTTTCATTTTTATCATTACATTATGGAAAATAATGACCTTTATCACAATATGCTAATTTTTTGAGAAGGACCTGTAAATATATGTATAATGAGAAACAACACTAGCTATAAGGTTTTACATATTCAAAGCAGGAGCAGATGGGTCCGGTGATAGCTGTCTTTTAGTTCTCATAAGCAATAAATCTTCAGTAGAACAGCCTCACGTGTTACTGTGTATGTGTGTCGTGTGTAACTGTACACCAGTCTTCTTCATCTCAGCTTGACCTTGACGACCTAATTTAGGGGAAAGCTTTTCTGCGTCTTAATTACAACGCTGAATTCACACAGTTGATTACACGGAGCAGCGTTCGTTATGGCCTTGTCTCCAGTACTTAGGTTGTACATGACGTTTTTATTGAGGTTGTGACACACGGCGGGTGCTGGGCAAATAGTACAACAGCTGGGCCCCACTCTCTGCTTACTATACAGTGTTCAAGGACCTGGACCCTAACAATAATAGTAAATATTGACAAATAACTTCATAACTTGCTAGTTTTTGTCCAAAAAGTGAGCCAGTCACAGCGCGTCATGCATCATAGCTTTACGTTTGAACAGTTGAAAAGAACTTTAACTTTATTTCAATATTCAAAAAGACTTCAGGCTCAATTGTTAAGTGACATAGCCTGAATGTGTTTGGTCTGAGTTGCTTAAACTGAAACATAAAGTGAACTAATCATTTATTGACAGATTTTGACTCCCACTTTGTTAAACCATTTTCTTGTGGTTGTTACAGTATGTTAAATATAATCCTTGTATAAGGCTGTGGGAGGTGGGGGTGTGGAGTGTGCTAAAGGTCTTTGTGATGAATACCAGACGCATTGCATGTCCAAGAACTTGCGGATTTAATAATATATATTTATTTATTTAAATAATAAAATTAAATAAATAAAACTAATTCCATAAGTGCTGCCTATGTTTAAAATCCCACCATTCTTTGCTACTAAATTTGGTAATCTGATTTATAAACCAGCTCTAGTTTATTTCTGTAAACTTCTGTTGTGACTTGGCGCTATATAAATAAACTGAATTGAAGTGAATTTTAGGTATAAGGATACAGTCACCAAAAAAAAAAAAAAAGCTTTTATTAGCTTTATTTTAAAATCCATTTTATGCAGGAAATACCATTGTTTTGCTTCGTGCCGTCAGCTTGATCACTCGTAATTTTCCAAAGCTTGCAGGTCAAATGTACAGCTGTCCATACATTAACCATTGGGTAGTTATCATGGAATAATGTTGTGAAATAATGCATCAATAACTAGAGGAAGGAAAAAGAAAATTTTAGCTGACGTGTTTAGAGCATTGTCCTTTGATACTACAAGCTGATTAGCATCCACTGCCAGAATGAGACACACACACAAGTCATGGCTTTGGTTAAAAAAAATACAATAAAATTGACCTTACACCAGGACGGCCAAATGTGTGTTCACTTTACTGAAAAGAGAAACTAACAGAGCAACACCTTTTCTCTAACATCTGTGTTATAAGTTTGCTTGGGCATGAACCATGCACCATTATGAAAACAGGTTAAACACATGCAAATGGAGCTTGGTTGTAAAAAAAATGACCTTTCTAGATAAGAGCGTTAAAATAGAAACTCACAGCTTACTGCTCATGAATAACACATGTAATGCTAGCTTTAAAAACAAAAGTCCACCTCAGTCAACTGTATTACACATAATTATTTTCCTGGCATTCGTTTAGGATTTTTAAAAAAGTATTTCTTTGTTTCATGTTTTTGCAGTACTTTTGGAGTCAAAGCCCGTAGATTTAAAGGTTTTCTAAACAAATACTTGTATATTAATTTATCAACCTCTTTGAATCAGGTAAATAATAACAGTATAGTAATATATATATAGTCTGTTTCCACTCTGTTTTATGTTCACTGCACTGCCCCATAGAGGACAAATACTGAAAATACCAGTTTTATAGTTTGCCATAAAAGAAAGTGTTGACATTTTTTTTCTAGCTTCTTACCAGTTTACCTTCATGTTTTCTTAATCACATCCCCACATATTTTACTTTTCCAGTGGGAAATTATAATAAACAACAAAGGAGATTAGTTTTGATAAGATACAAGAGTTTGGGGTTTAATCATTTTATAAAAGTGGACTATTCCAACAACAGGCGTTCAAGTGTTTTGCTTTTCAGAATTTCCTGTTAGAGCCACTTGACTATGGTTGGTTTGGAGCATGCATCATGTAGACCTCTGCACAACAGCGGGTTTTTCTACAAACATAAGCAGCAGTACTCATTATCATCCCTTTATACACTCTCACACACATGGATACATGCACATTAACCGCAGTGGGACAGCAAAAAGTGGAGCAGAGTAAAAGTAGGACAGAGGGTCTCGACTATGACCTAACTGTGTAGTACAGAAAGAGACAGGAAAAAAAGAAAAATAAAATAATGGAAGGAAGAGTGCCTAACAAAGTAACAAAAAATGGGGTCTGCTAAAAAAGATAAATATGCAAAGAGGAAAAAACTAAGACACAGTAGGACATGAAGGGGGAAGAAGTGGAAGCAGAATGAGAAAATGTGAGGAGAGGGAACGAAATGAGGTGGAGATAAAAATGGAGGCAGCTAGAGAAGGCTTGATGACTGAGATCGCAGCAAGAGAGGTGGAGAATAGAGAAACAAATTGGGGGGGGAACAAAAGGCCAATTATTTATAACAGCGTGACAGGGCTGGCGGCCCAGCTGTGATTTACTCTGTGTCTGAGTCGATGCAGCAAACACACACGCAAAGCCACCAAAGAACCACTGAACACAAAACAGGACAAATCATAGAGGGTTGAGTGTAAACCCTGTAAGGTGTGTTGACCTAAATCTGACCTGCAGCGCAGGTTATAATACACACTTCATCTGTGGTGAAGATTATACTCAATATGCGTACATGGCGTGGGTTCCAGTCTCTCTTCATTGTTAACCTGTGCTTTCCATCCTGTCTTTTCTGTCTCTGTGTCTCCCTCTGCCAGGTGGAGGAGTTTAAAAATGATCCCAGCCCCTCGAAGTGCCTGCACTCTGTGTTCGATGTGGACACCGGCGACGAGGTTTACACATACAAAGACTATCACCACCTACAGGTCAGCCTGGGACCACACAGGAGGAGAAATGAGACAGACACCAAACAAGACTATTTGATTTGGTCAAACCTTGAAAATAGTGTCACACACAATGTAGTACTATATCATGAGATGTCATGTGCTGAGAATGACTCTCACTACTACCACACCAAATTTTAGCTTCATATCTGTTTTACTGATTGTTATAACCAGATAAGAATCAACGTGATGACTAAATTACCCAGCCCTTCACTTGATCATCTTTTTAATACGGACTAAAACGTATCACTTCTTCAGCCCACTGTAACACGTGCATGTGTGATTAGACAAATAACTTTCCTCGAGAAGTTGGTGCACATTAAACTGGCACTAAAACAGTTTATTCTTCCGTCAATGTTATCGACAAAGGTCAGTTTGATGTGTTGCGTTTCGATGGAGACTGCATTTCTTGTGAAGAATGGCCAATGCATCAAGAGAGCCTGAGATTGGAAATCAAAACTCTGCTGCAAAGTTAGTTGGCTGTGACAAAGACACAGTCAGATCAAAGTTTGTAGAGATGTGGCACCTTTGCTGTGTGCACATTTAGTTCTTGCTAGTCTTTCACATTAACTGTACTGTTATGAATGATGGCAGCCCAATGCCATAGGCCTAATGGCTAACATAAAGCTCACATGTCAGCATTCACAGTCTGCAGGAAATCAAATATTGACAAATTAGAGGGTGAAACACAGTGAGCAAACAACAGTATTTTTTTACAGCCCTTCACTCACTCTGTCCTTTTTGTGTCCTGCAGATCGATGCTGTGTCTCTGTTCCTGCTGTACCTGGTAGAGATGATCTGCTCTGGTCTGCAGATCATTTACAACACTGATGAGGTAAACAACATCAAAACATTGTGAGATGTCACCACTAGTATGTGAACCACACTGTCTAAAGACAGTAGGGACTCACTCATTTCTAGGCTGGAGCAGTGGGTGGGCATCACAGGGTCAGCCCTCAAATGATTTAGATCCTACCTCTCTGACAGAACCTTTTGTGTCAACATCAAGGTTTTTATTTCAACATCAACAGCTATTCGGTGGGGGGTACCGCAGGGGTCCATTCTCGGTCCTCTTCCATTTTCTTTATACCTGCTACCAGTAGGTAGCACCTTTTCATTTCTATGCCAATGACTGTCAAATTCACTTCCCTTTGAAGCACACTGGTGCACGTTCTATCCAACCTCTTCTTGACTCCCTGGCTGACATCAGTGACTGGATGGCTTTAAATTTCTTAAATTGTAATAGGTATGTTTACATGGACATAAGTAACCGGATCAAATGGTCGGTCGGAATAAAAGTGTGTCATGTAAACACTCGGTTCGGGTTATTTTTTGTGTATTGGGCGCAATCCGATATAATTTGTGATCAGAACAAAACGGGTGGTTTACGCCGATCCGTAACCCGATCGGTGTGCATGTAAACGCTTGATCTGTTCGTTTTTATCTGATCGTGAAAAACTGACCAGACTGCGCATGTGCGACTTTGCCATTTCCACCTGGCTAATGCTAATAATATTAGCATGTCGAGAGCAAAACTGGTCGGTGAGCGACACAACATTTCTACTAGAAACTTTGAAAGAGCTCAAAATGATCTGTATTACCTGTAGCTCAGTCAGGGAGTGCAGTAACGTCTCCACCATCATTAAAACCTGTCGCGGGTCCATTTTGGGTGCTCAGGTTTGTTAACGTTCACCCCGGAAGTAGAACTTCTTCTTCGGTGGTTTTTTTAAGGAGAGTTTACCACTCTGCGCATGTCAGTACTGCTGTTCAGAACAAAGCCCGCTGCATGTAAACGCTCGTCATGAACAGATTGTGCCCATGTAAACAACACATTTGAATTATTCAAACAGAACACATTTCAATCCGGTCAAAGAATTCTGCGCATGTAAACATAGCTAATGAGAAGAAGACAGAAGTCATATTGTTTCTTCCTAATGGTGCAATCAAGAACCACTGTATCGATCTTTCCTCTCTAGCCCCATCAGAGAAACAAGTAGTCGCTAATCTGGGAGTGCAAATGGACCCTTCCATGAAACTAAACAGTCATGTAAACACGATTGTTAAATCCTTTTAAAAAATTTTAATTGTATTTTTTTCAGTTGAGGCGACTGTCTAAATTGAAGCCCATACTGTCCAAAAGTAACGTTGGGACAGTAATACATGCTTTCATAACATCCAGACTCGACTACTGTAATTCGCTTCTTTTTGGAATCAGTCGGATCTCTATTGCACCTTTACAATTGGTTCAAATTACTGCAGCCTGACTTTTAACCGGTACCGTCAAAAAAAAGAGTACATTACTCCTGTTCTGGGCTCCCTTCATTGGCTCCCGGTTCACTTTCAAATACATTTAAAAATTGCTCTGTATGATTTTAAATCTCTGAACAATTCTGACCCCTCCTATCTTGCTGATTTGCTTCAGCCATATGTCCCACAGCGATCTCTGAGGTCAGTAGACCAGATGCTTTTATTGGTTCCAGGAACTTGATTTAAGCTCAGGGCTTTTTCTGTTGCAGGTCCAAAACTGTGGAATGAGTTACCACTACATGTCAGGCAGGCTCCCTCGCTTACTGATTTTAAGTCTCGTTTAAAAACTCGCTTTTATTCCCAGGTTTATGACACTGTGTGAGTTGATTTTAACTTGTCTGTATTCTATAATTTTAGTCATTTAATTCTTATCCTTGTGTATTTGGATCTATGTATTTTATCTTGTGTCCTTTGCATGTTTTGTTTTTGCTGTACAGTGCTTTGGTTGGCCTTGGTGCTGTTTTAAGTGCTTTATAAATAGTGGTATGGTATGGTATAGGAATGCGCAATATATACGGTAGAAACGATAGTAATTTAGCCTACGATAAATAGATCTTTCTTCTACCAGCTAACCGCAGTAATGCTGTGTCTGAAGTAAAATCAGAGTTGTCAGTTTAATTGTTACTTTTTTTAGTTGAAAACTGTGCGCAAGTGGCGTTAACGTCTTTTCTTCGAGAGCTAAAACGAAGCTACAAGCTAACTACGGCCGGCTTGCCATAATGTTGCTGTATTCGAATGCATGTACAAAACACTGTGTTCCGTCAATAGTTTTGTTTTTTTTCCGTCGAAAGTTAAAGTAAGCGTTGGTCAGCTTTAGAGAAACCTGCTCTCTGATCTGTGAAAAGAACACCGTGTTGTGTAATTTTACTGCGAGACCCTCTGGTCAAAGCCACAGACTCATTTTGTGTCAGCTCTCCTTTAAAGCAGAAGGAGACGCCCACTAGAGGGTTGGAGGGTGAAGTGTTTCCGTGAAAAATGCTGCTCTGTTGCTGTTCATTTCTTAAGTAAGACTGGAAACTGTTAAGAGTTAACAACATATTATTTTGTTTAAAACATATGGCTAAAACTACATTTGATATCTTTTGCACTGTTTTGCACTGCCAGAAAGAAGCCTAATACTTGATTTGTTTATTATTTAAAAACTCTCTGGACCTAGTAGTGGAATTTTATTAATTCAAAATATGTGATGGCTAAAGGACACCATATGCTTTCACCCTATGCACCCTACCCTTTTTATTCCTATTGCAAGTTTTATACCAAAAACATATTGCAATATATATCGTTATCGCCACCCTTCACAATACATATCGTGATATGAATTTTATGCCATATTGCACATTCCTAGTATGGTATGGTATATTCTGTATCCTGTATGAGTCTGCTATTTTTCTGACTGGTGCACTAAAAAGCTAACACTAGTCATACCAGACTGCTTTATTGCTTCTTTCTTGTTTATATAATTAAATATTCACTGATATTCATGTTTCTTTTTCTGTTTTTTTTTTTTATATGCTGCTTTTTGTTTTTCTGTTGTGATGTAACACATACTCGTAAAGATGAAAAAAATATGATGATGGGTGTTTCTAGAGAGTAGAAGACGAAACTTCAGCTACAAAAATATTACTTTGTTTCTATCAGTTGAAGTATTTGTGACTAAAGTAGTTGTGTACATCTTGTGATTACTCACCATAGTTGGCAGTTTCTTGGTCTGGTCAGCAATTACAAGAGTAACGTTTTTCAGGCTTTGAACTCAGTTAGGAACTTTGGAAGGAAGTGGCAGAAATGAAGATGTTGAGGTTCTCCTTGGGAGTGACAAGAATGGATAAGATTCAGAATCAGTATCAGAATAAGCTTTATTGTCATTGTACCGAGAGACAGCGAGAATTAGGAATGAGATCATCAGAGGTACAGCACAGGTCGAACAACTGGGAGATAAAGTTAAAGAGGCCAGACTGAGATGGTTTGGACATGTCCAGAGGAGGGACAGTGGGTATATTGGTAGAAGGATGTTAGAAATGCAGCTGCCAGGAAAAAGACACAGAAGAAGGCCAAAGAGGAGATACATGGATGCAGTTAGAGAGGACATGGAGGTACCGTACTTTCTGCCTTAAAAGTCCCACTGCCAAATAAGTCACATCAGTCCAGTTATGTCTAATAAAGTGGAAAAAACATAAATGCGTTGCTTCGCCTTATAAGTCGCATCTATTATGCATCACTGCTGATGCATCACGTTTGTTATGTGTCACCGCTGACCACCCAGAAACGGGGGCCGGTGTTGTGCCAAAAATCGATTGGCTGCCAAATGGCGGCCACTGGAGCGTGCACGGGAAGACTTTACCAAGAATTTAACAAGATTAACACTTAAAAACAATTATTTGTTTGCTCGACATTATAGCAAATGTGTGACTCAGTTGAACTTTTCCTTAATAAATGCACTTTAATGGTCAAATCAGCTGCATTTCACCTGGGCGGTGCGGCAAAATGAAGCTCCAGGAGTTCCGGTATGAGACGAAAGTGGCTTTGTATGGCAAGCCAAGTGACTCATTAAAAGCCACTTTTACCTATTAAAGACACACTTGGCTTGCCATATGACTTAAGGGCCCTCTAGCAGCTGAAAATGGTAATGTTCATTATTTTCCAAGTCAGAATGAATGAAATTGTCAGACCTCAGCCAAAAATTGGATTATAAATATGAGGAAAAAAATGTAAATTAGTCGCTTCGGACTATAAGTCGCAGGACTTGCTAATTTATGCTAAAAGATGTGACTCATAGTCTGAAAAATATGGTAGTTGGAGTAAGGACAGAGTGAGATGGAGGAGGATGACTCACTGTGGAGGGAAAAGCCAAAAATAGAATAAGGAGGAGTCAGTTAGGAACTTTTCTAAGTGGGGGGAAGACAACTTGATCATACCCTAGACAGCATGCAGCTGTGGGGTGATGCGAGCTGTGCCCATGATGTGGGCCCCATGGCTTGCAATTTGCAACACGCACCTTGCACAGCTGGAATGAAGTTAGTTCAAGGCTCTCACCCTCAACATGACTTGAACCTGCAGACAAGCACCTGCTGTATCCTCACTGTTGTCTACAGTATCATGTTTTGAATCCTCCACCATGTGGTTTAAATCTATTCACACTTTGCTTGAGAAAAAGAAAAGTAATATTGTAAATCTGTTTTCCAAATAAAATGATGAGACCCAGTGAGAAATGTAAATTTGACATCAATCCGATCCTCCCCGCTAACCAATAAGACCAAAGTGTCCGTAAAGCCCGGCTAGATGTGCGCTAAATCCTCCACAGACGTCTTAAAGCTGGCACTAATGCAGGATCAGGGCCCAGTATCTCACTTTTATAGTTCAGTTCACATTTATATATTTCCTGAGCTGCTCAGCTGGCTTCAGCTGGGACACGTTTAAAGGATTTCCATAAAGGGAGCCTAAATGTCCACCTGGGAATCCAAACGGTAACATTTTATTTGGCACCAAGCTGCCGTTACCGTAAATCTGTTCTCTCCAAACTGGATTAATCTG